GACAAATAAACAGGTTTGTAACTTGCAGAGTGAAAAAATGTCTAGTATTCTTAGTTTTTTTGAAAAGAGGAGCAGCATGGGAATCAGAGAAAGTGATGAGGCTTAATATTTTTTTCTGTAAGAGATATATTGGTTGCACTAGAGTAGCATATGCTTGTACTGTGTTTTTTACGGAAGCAAAATTGAGTATCAATGAGTATGGATTTTTTCTCAAGATATGTAATTAATTGCTTATTAACGATTGATTCGCATACTTTGCTAAAAATAGGTAGAATGGATATTGGGCGGTAGTTGTTGACATCATTTGCGGAACCTTTTTCATTAATGGGAATGACCTTCGCTATTTTAAGAGCATTAGGAAATATACCTTGGCGAATTGAACACTTGATAATGTAGGCAAGGGGGTGGGAAATGATATGCCTAGCATGCTTGACAATTTTAGGGGGGACACCATCATGTCCTATTGATTTTCAAGGATCTAGGGCAGTGATGTCATTGACTATATAGCTCTCATTCACAGGGCGAAAATAAAAAGAGTCACGATAATTGCCAGTTAAATATTCAGTAAAGTCGCCCGGGGCAGTAATGTTATCCGCGAGTTTTGATCCGATATTGGTGAAAAAATGGTTATTAAACTCTTCAACAATAATGGATTCTGTATCTGAAAAAACAAACTTTCGAATGATAAAACTTGATTCAAACTTTGAATGAACGAGAAAAATATCGCTCACAAAATTAGCATATGTAACTATAGGTCCGGAAGAATAAGCTGAAAATTGATACCATGGGTAGGAGGGAGTAGAATATTGCTGCAAAGTTGCAAAGAATTGATTTAAGTGGAGCAGAATAAGCAAATTATTCAGCTGTAGTATCATTAGATCTATGATTTTGTTTATATTTATATTTATATCATAAACATATGAATATATGAATTTGTTTTCCAAATAGCAACATTACAAGAACCGTGACCTATTTGGCTCAATTTTATTAAGCGACGCTTCCGTTATAATTATTTTGTCATCATTAATTATTAATTTGTTACTATTTTTTGGAGCGGATATATTTTAATTAGAAAATCGCTTGTGAACAATGGTATAACACAATCCGTACCTCATACCCAAATAATGTAGACATAGATACTAACTATTTCGCAATCTTCTTAAGCACACTGTCAACTGAGTTCTATGCCGACTTGCCACGTATAATTAACTTATCTTTTAAATAGCTTGTTTATCACACATTAAGTAATCATTATCATTCCTGAATTAAAACTGGATACATACTGTAGGCAGTATGTATGTCCCATTTGACCAGAGATGAAATGTGCCCACCATTATATTTAAATATACTCTCTCTATTCTTACTTGCGTTGTTTATATTTTGACGAATAACAACAAACTGTGTTTTTTCATCCCATTTTTCCCTCCAGTATTATCGCAAATCAGCGTACATGTTCAGAGAATAGTTTCTTTTACATAACATAGTATATCCTATATACAATTACAAATAAGACACTCATTTATTAATGAGCCTTCTGCAACGCCCTTGGACATTTCGCGAAGTTTAAAAATACAAGTTTTGTTGTTAAAAAAATAAAATGTATGGAATCAGGAGCAACTAAAATACGATTATAACAATCCTAATAGACAAAATTATCAAGATATTTGTAATAACGATCAACCTTATTGGTAATACAACCGCATTTGTAAGAAAAGATCATCCCTATTGGTATCACAAAACACGTGTCTAATAAAGAACAACTCCATTGCTAATACATACCCTATTTGTAATAAAGGTCACAGCTGGATAATGAAATCTGAGAAATCCTGTGAATGGTTCACCAATAAATGGCGGCGGAATAATCCACTCTAATTGACAAAAAGGGTGGGAAATAAGGTTACTTAGGACATGGGTATAATGATATGATGTCATCACATTGTTTTTGTAGTTTTGAGATCCAAGGCAAAAAATCTTATTGGGGTTCTTATTTACTTGTCTCAAACATGTTAATTTACTGTTGTAGAACGTTTTGCGTGTATATGTGCGAGTGTTTCTATGACTACATAATGAAATAGCATTATCTGGATACATTTCCGGTATAACGGCATAAAGGTCAACAAGGGGTATCGAATAACCTCAAATATCTCTCACAAGTTCCCGTGTTACATGACATAGTCTTTATTCTGTGACAAATAAGGGACC